AAGCTTTGTGAGGACATTAATCCTGCTCCTGTCTGTACGTTCACTAAATAACACATGTTCATCCTCACCAGACATTGCCTGAAGTCTGCAATAGCAATGCTTTAGTATAGAGGGAAAATAGAAATATTTGCATGTTAAACGGCATGCAAAGGACTGCCATGTGAAAAACCTGGAACACAATTTAGATGTGTGGAACCTCAGTTCACTGCTATTCTTCCACACAAGCACTGTATTAAGAAATTTTCAGGTGCTTTCTAATTGGACATTTCCCAGATTTCGGGTTAGCAGTTACCATCTCAGGGAACCAGTGATCACCAATGAAACACAATATTAGGCCTACGGTCCAACTCACTAACATGAAGAAGATTACATCACAGTGGAATTTGGCCCCAAGTGCACATTTCTGCTGCCTAATACAATTGCCAGGAAAACATAACCAAGCAGCTTGCAGAGGCAAAAAAGCACTCCCGTTCTCTCATGGTGCCAAGCAGCGTGAGGCAGGCAACGCTGCTGGATGGCTTTGTGGCTCCATCTGCTGCCCAGGAGGAAAAACATATCCCAGCAATTATAAAACTACTTGATTTTCCCTAAGAAACATTACTTTTCTTGAGGTTCAGACAAATTACTCTTAAAAATGATCGAACATTTAACTTCGTCTTAGCTATTGAAGAAGTATTTGCTATAGCTGCCTTTTTGAACAGCATGAATTAAGACTGAGACTTTGTTAGGCAAAACCAGGAAGACTATTTAGCAAACTAAACATTGCCTCCTTCTACACTTGCTGCTACTGCCACTCACAGAAAGTCAGGGCTTAGAAGAAGATGGGAAATACTCTAGACTCCAGGTAGCATGTGTCCCCAAAGGAGGGGACAGCCATATGACCTAGTTGGCTAGGATGAAAGTGTGCTTTTTACCTAAATGAAGGACTTGGGCAGAACACAGCTCTGAGTGAGTCTGCAGACATCCTTCTTTGCTGAAGAGTGCTACATCTATGCAGAGTACTCTTTCTGATCAGACTGAGGTGTAATTATAAGGATAAGACATGAGGCACAGCCCTACCTGCTGCAACACAGACTCGCCTTGTAGTCTCTGCAGATTTTCCAGGTGGGAATGGAACAACGGGCTGTGCAGCAGCTTTACCTCCAGCAGCCCTTCAATGATGTAGCCAATGGTGCAGTCGTCAGGAAGACGCACCCTTTCCGCAGTACTGATGAAGTTGCCCAGGCTGTGAGACAGAGTGTGGGAGACAAGAGAAAATGTGTTTTAAAGCCTCCCAAACATGTATCAATGGAGCTCAGCTAGGAACAGTGCTTACCTGGCCCAGGGACTCATCTTCAAGGCAAGACCTCTGCTGATACAGAACCCCGCTCCACCTGTGGCAAACCAGAATTTCACGGTTGTCTTCTGAAGAGCAACAAGAAAAAACACACAGTAATTAATGATAATCAGCTTTTCCCATTTGGCTGGGCAGGGAAGGGAACTTGAAATTCTATTGGATATCACATACTGCACTTGCCAAAACAAGGCTACAGACAAATCCCTATTTGTTTAGGCTGCTGAAAGCCTAAATTTCTCTCAAATGAAACTCTATCTTGGAACAGACAGCAGATGAACCATCAAATTAGCATATTGCAGGTAGCACACATGAAATGGAAAACTATAGTCCCACTCCTACCCTATTCCATCTGTCCCCTGGTCATTCTAGCCAAGGATCACAGCCAGCTCAGTGCTCCTGAGGATATCAAAGGTGGTCAATTATACACTTGGCTGCACGTCCAAGGAGACTATTTTGTTGTGCAGTCTTCCCTAACAAGCTATTTTATAACTGAATTTCTGGCTAGTGGATTGATTTGTCTTTAGACCTGTCGGTACAGGTGGCCTGCTTAGGACTTGTCCTTTAGCATGTGTATCTCGTGATTGAGATATGTTTGCTTCCAGTTCTTGGAAACCTACTAACCACTTGGAACTAGAAATGCTTTATTTATCTAGAAAGCCTTTGTCACCCATCTGAGGTTGGTTCAAGATGATGACAATGTGACACTGCACTCAAAACAAACAAACAGAAAAACCCCTCAACTCCAACTCAAACTCCCAAGCCCTACAACAAGGAACACTGTCCCATAACCTAAAGGAAAAGGAAGAGTCAACGTGGGGAGGCCCTACTTAGCTTAGTGTGAGAGATATCACAACATCCATGAGTAAAGGAACAGAAACAGACACCCACCCAGGAGACAAACTCCACCGTACATATGCATACAACGTCGGAGCAAAGGTTCCTTTAACCCAGCACCCTGCCTCTGAAAATGACCAGTGCCAGGTTCACTTCCTGCAGATTAAATCACTTGGGTTTATGGGGGAATCCTATGAACTGTCAAGGTTTTAAAGGCTTAGAAAGTCAGGATGTCTCTCAGACAAACTGTAAAGTTTGCTTACTGATCCATCACTTTGGACATGATCAGCTGCTTCGATGGGATGGTCTAGACTCGGTCGCCCCACATAGACATCCTGGCTGTGTGAGAAGGCAGACAGGAGATGCAGGAGAGTCCGAGGGTTCACATAGTTGTCATCGTCCACATGGCAAAACCATCTTCACACGAAACAGAACAAGAAGTTACAGGGACAAAGAAATGAGCTACAGGTTTACAACTGAGACTTAGTCTTTCAGGCTTTGGAGCAGGAAGTATTTCTTATTGCCCTAAATTACAGATTTGGAAAGCTGAAAGCACCCACAGATGCTAATTCTGTAAAGAGGCTGAAAAGAATAACCCCCTTTAGATCATAATCTTTTCCACCTTCCAAATGATGCTTGTTTAAAAACACTGCTTCATGCTGTGCTCCCTTCCATGCACTCATCCCTACATTTTAGCTAAGACTGCATTCCTTACTGGAGCAGAGATGGTTACTCAAGTTTCCTGTGAACACAGAACTGGAAGAAACAAAGTCAATCACAACAATGTGTTTCACCTACTTTTGCCCAGATTCCAGGAATTTATCATATTCCACAGACATCTTGCAGCAGAGAGCTTGCCGAGTATGGACAGCAGAACAGTTGGTGTTGATCATATGATCCCCTGGAAAAATAAAGACCAGCCCTTTCAGGTTTGTGAAACATGTGTAGTCCAAAAAGGACTACAAAAGAAGTGCACGTTTGGCACTAATCCTGTACATCTGAGGTGCATATGGTGCATACATGGAGAGCAAACTGCAGGACAGGCAGGGCTCACAGGTTATGCATCTGGCATGCAAGCTGCAGAGGTCATAAAATTGTGTGAGTGCACAAAAATGAGGGTATATACACAGTGCCATGAGACTGTGTGCAAAGGAAATACCTAGTATAACTCTAAGACCACATAGACTTAAGCTTACTAACAAGAAGAAAGTGGATGCAAAAGTGAACCCAGTATTCAGGAAGTTCCAGGCATCCTGTTCAGGTGGCAAGCAGGGAGAAGTTTTCTCCATCTTAACTTCCCTAACTGCTTGTACAGCATGAAATAAGAACTTCTAGGAAAAGTATGAAAGAAACGAAGCTCACAACAGATAGCATGCACCTAGGCTACACAGCTCACCTGCTTTCAGGCGTAGCTCCTGATCCTCCCAGTCTGTGAATATAAATGTCTGTGGGAGACAAAAATGGTGTGTCTACATTTGAGAATTTCAGAAACTAATTTAAAGCTTGTCCACTTGCAGTCAGAATTCGGAATGTTATGTCTGTTTTGGCTTGTTTCACAGTAGCCACTGGAGTGGGGAGAGACAGCTCCAGCAACTTCAACCCCTACCTTATTTGTTAAGTTTTTTCATTGCAAGTCAGAAAATTGTCATTTCAATACAGCATCCTATAACTTACTCTTCTAGTCTCAGGGCACAGATAACCAATTTCCAGATAGAAATGACTTTGATCTTTTTTGGTAGTACCTCCTCTCTCTGGCTGGGAGTCATCCACAGCTATCGAATAGATTAAAAGGAAAGAATGCAAGTCAGGGTGGGAAGTGGCAGGTGGCAACACTGTCCTGTCCCATCTGCTAGACAAAACTGCCTTACTATGCTTGAATGGGCTGAAATTCTGAACCAAGGGAACTACTTTTATGTTGTTCCACAGTAAAACGTGGCTGAACTTTTTGGTCCAAAATAGTGGTTTAGATGCACCAGCACTAGGGTTCTTTCACTCTTGCGTAGCCTTTTTCACAGTCATACACAAATCAGCAAATTACGTCTGCTTGGACCACCGATGCCAGACTGCAGCTAAGTAGCTTAATCAACAACGCCTCTTTAGAGGAGGAATCGTTTAGACGACGTTCCTCAGTCCTAAAAGGAAATCTGCTTTTAACGCACGCTTTTTAACACCCGGTGAAAAAGGGCAGCAGCCGCCCTGGCACACGCAGGGTCGAAGCTCTCGTCCCCGCCCGCCGCGAGGCCTCACCTGTCCCCGCGCCTGGGAAATCCAGGTTTGGAGGAGCAAGTCCAGCCGGCTCTTGTGGTACTTCCTCGTGGTCTTCACCGCGATGAAGATATCCTTCAGCTCCAGCGCCTCCCTGGCAGGGCCCGCGGCAGCGCCGGGGCGGCCCCTACGCGCAGGCTGCGGGCTGCCCACGAGGCCTCGGCCACGGCCGCCCGCGCCGGGCCCGCTAGAGCCCGCAGGGCCCGGTCGGTGCGGCGAGGCGGCGCTGGGCCCGGCGGCGGGCGGGGCGCGGGGCGCGGGCGGGCGCTGCCCCCGCGGCAGCAGCAGCAGCAGGAGCGCGGCGGCGCCCAGGGACAGCAGGACCCCGGCCCTGCGCAGCCCCAGGCAGGGGCCGCTCATGCTGTAGCCCCGCGGGCCCCCGCCGCACGGCGCGGCCGCCTCATGGCCCCGCGGGCGGGCGGCCTCGCGCTCCGGGAGGTGGCGGCGGCCCCGCGCAGGGAGCGCCCGGAGGTTGCCGCGCCGCCGCCGCGGGGCCGAGCGGGGCCGCGGCCCCTTTAAGAGCTTCACCTGTCGGACGCAGCCCGGCGGCGGCGCGCGGCCCGGAAGCGGAAACGGGGCGGGCGGGGCGGGAGCCGGAAGCGGCGGCCGAGGGGACGATGCCGCTGCCCGTCCAGGTCTTTAACTTGCAGGTAACGGGGCAGCCGCGCCCCCCGGCCCGTACCCGCGCGGTCCGGCCCCGCCGCGTTCCGCGCACCTCCCGCGCAAGGTCCGGCATCCTGACCCGGCTGCGGCCGCCGCGGGCGCGCTGTGGCCTTCCCCGTCGACTCCGCGGGAAGGGGCCGCTGTCGGCAGGCCCTGGGCCCTCGCTCGTTTTTCCGTCGGGTCCGGCTGTGTCCCTTCCGCCGCCGTTGGCGACGAGGAACCCTCAGCCGAGCGTCATGCGGTCCCCGCCGCGGCCCCGCGCTCGGGTCCCGCGCTGTGCGCGCCGTAGGCAGGGCCGAGGCTCTCGAGGAGAGCGTGGTGAGGCTGCCGGTGAGGAGGACTTGAGAGTCTGCAGTGCAGGGGAGAGCCCTGGGAGCCCTGAGGGGTCGGTGACACTCGGTACCTGCGCAGGCGATCCTTTGCGGGTTCTCTGTCAGGGCACGGGCTTGTGGGAAGTGAGGCGCAGGATGAGGGACAGTTCAGCTTCCAGCTCTGCCTCTTCGTCAGTGACAGGTCTGTACTGAACCCCCCTCCAGCAGTAGGTCACTCCTCTTCCTCCGGAGTACAGCAGGAGACTTCAGCTCAAGTGCCAGTGAAAGGCCTGGTGAGGTGCCTTCAACAGGGTGCCTACTATGGTAGGCTTACACAGCCTAAACAAAGCAACCCTGGCACTTAGTGTTTATGATATGAGAAAAAAGATAAGGGAGATAAAAATGGAAAAAGTAATGGTCTCAACTTCTGGTGACTTAACTGTTTTTATGCACGTTTTTCCTGAGTTGTGATCTAGACAATAAAACTTTTCTTTGCACCCTCTCTCCCTTTCTTTCACGGAAAGATTATTATACTAGGAAACAAACTTTTACATGCTTCACTTGCTTTTGCTTCAGATTTCAGGCAATTCCACATCAGTGTCAAGATATGTGTGTATTTGGTATGTACCAGTTTGTGAAAGAATAAACAGGCTGTGGGTGAATGTAATTTTTAGACTTAGGAAATCTGGATCTGCCCTGTTCCTTCTCACAGAAAAACTCCAAAAAAGAAACCATCAACCCAATTAAAAAAAAAAAAGTCAGTTTTTGATTTCTTAACAGACAACAAAGTTAATAAAAACATGGAAACAATTTGATGTTGATGGAAGCAAGGTGGTTGGCATTTCTGTCTTTTCTGAGATCCAGTTGTGTAATTTATACCAAATCAAGTGTATAATAATATAATATACAATATAATTGTATAATATCTGCACTAAATCAGCACTTTATAAGACATTCAGCTTGGTTTTCCTCAGTTTAAATGGATAATTCCTAGGAGGAATGTTCAACACACTTTAACTAGGAGGAGGCAAAGAATTTACTGCCACCAAGCCAGCTTCGTTTGTGGCATGGGGTGGCTGGTCTTACCTGGGACACGCACACAGGGGCTGTAACGGTGCTGCTGGGCTGAGGTCACTGCACTGCTGTGAGTCCTCAGGGTGTTCAAAGCGGGATATACTGGGAGAATAAAATTACGGTGTTTCTGCAAAAGAGGCTCTACATAAGCAGATGGACTCAGACACTACAGTAGGATAGGTTCAGCTGATGGCAGATCTCTGCAGTGTAGACAGATTGTTCCTCAGTATATGTTGGAAACTGTGAAATTGCCATTCTGCATTCTGCTCTTTTTTTAATATTCTAAAAAGTGTAGCAGTTGTTGCCTTTTTTCCCCCCCAAAAATATTACTTTTAAACATTAAAGCAAAGCAGTTTTGAAAGGTTCTGGTGGGTTTTTTGGTACATTTTGACTTTTGAAACTTCTTGAACTGAGTGTTAATGCCTGCTCTTGCTCAAGGAAGAGAAACGGAATGTCACTTGGAATTTGGCATGCATACCTGACATACTTTGTAAACTCAGATTTATTGACCCCTTCTTGCTTGATAATCTACCAAGACAAATAAAGGGTTCTGTGTGAACGCTGAGCCGTGCTGACCAGTGGGTTGCTAGAGAAAAATCCTAAATATATCAAAAGATTGAGGAGTGCTTTTTCATTTTTAAAATTTTACATGTATTTAAGCAAGTCTTTAATAGGTTGAATCGTATAGTTGTTTCCTGCTCAAATGTAATAAGTTACTTTTGACCTCCTTTTGCTATTCTAGGGTGCAGTGGAGCCCATGCAGATTGACGTAGATCCACAAGAAGATCAGCAAAATTCACCTGATATCAACTATGTGGTGGAGAACCCCACACTGGTACGTGCTCTGCTGAGGGCTGTGGGGACATTTCTTGAATGTGGCCTCTTCCTTTAAGGATTTGGAAAAAATCCCTTTTGAAAAAAGTTAAAGCTGATTAGTCTGTTTAACAGACAGCTGAAATTTAGAAAAGGTAATTGTAGTATACTGCATATTTCTGAGGATATTACTAATGTTTGAAGAAAGCATGGACTAATCTTACCTGATTTTTTTATTTGTCTGAGTCGTGTTGCCCTCCTTGAAGGGGTCAGGTCTGCAGGAAAACCTGTGCAGGTCACAGTGCAGTAGCCTGAGTTGGTGTGTCCATCTCCACCTTCTGAAGCCAGGCTTTGTTGGCAGGATTTGGAGCAGTATGCATCCAGCTACTGTGGGCTGATGCGAATCGAGCGGCTGCAGTTCATTGCTGATCACTGTCCACAGCTGAGGGTGGAAGCTCTCAAGATGGCTCTGTCATTTGTCCAGAGAACTTTCAATGTTGATGTGTATGAAGAAATCCACAGAAAGCTGTCTGAGGCCACCAGGTACTAAGAAGTCATGGGAATATGGGGAGCTTTCCTGAAAGGGTTTAAACTGATGTGCCACAGTGGAAGACTTTGCATGTGATACCACAATGTTCCTTATGGAAATTACCTTTGCCCTTAGAATTTTATAGCAGTGGAATGTGTGTTCAGGCCTAAGGTTCTCATGCTTTTTTAAAAGGTAAAGCACAGAAATCTTAGTGGTTTTAAAAGCTGCAGGTAGATATTGAGTTGAGTTTAGTCCATGCAACTGCTTCAAATATTAATGAACATAGTTGTTTTTCCTTAGGTAGATTGTGGTGACGAAAGCTCTTCTATATGATTTTGTGGTCATAAGTTAAACCTAATATAACTCTTTGCCTTGTTTTGGTTTGTTTTTAACTTTTTCCCCCTCTAACAACAGGTTTGCTCTTGAGAATAGCCATTGACACCTGAACTTATCCATCTACATTTCTTATCTTTGCATTATTTTTGTTGCTATGTCTATTTGATGATTTCTTGTCTGTTTTGCCCTGGGAATCTTTAGCATGTGTGTGTGACACTACGTTCATCCTAAGATCATAGGATTATTTTGAGAAGTCTTTGTAAACATCTGTGATGCTTATGTTACTGTTTGTACTGGAAATCTTATCAATCTTTTTCTTTTTTCCCCACTATCCTTGTTTTCTCTTTGATGATCTATTTTGTGTATGCAGTACTGTTTGTTAGGGTAGCAGTGCCAGGCACTTAGCAGACTTCTGTTTTGAAAAGTTTGCAGCCTAACATTAAGCTCTGTTCGAATGCTTTTAGAGAACTGCAGAATACACCTGATGCTGTCCCCGACAGTGGAATTGAACCCCCTCCTCTTGACACAGCTTGGGTCGAAGCTACGCGCAAAAAAGCTCTTCTTAAACTGGAGAAACTTGACACAGATCTGAAAAATTACAAAGGGAACTCCATCAAGGAGAGTATCAGGTGAGATGCAGAAGGCTCTGCTGGAGCACGAAAGAGCATTTTGCTCCTCCATACACTTAACGCAGGATGTTAACTAAGGCATTCAGTGCCTTAGGTCAGTGTGTTGAGTTACTTGATTGGAACAAACTGACTTTGTCCCTTTCTGAGCACCCAGTTCATTGGTGTTTTAATTCCTGTGCTCCAGGAGAGGCCATGATGACTTAGGTGATCATTATCTGGATTGTGGGGACCTCAGCAATGCTCTCAAGTGTTACTCACGAGCCCGTGATTACTGCACCAGTGCTAAACATGTCATCAACATGTGTCTCAATGTCATCAAGGTAGGAGGGTTTGCAGGAAATGGTATTTGGTTCTTTCTGATACCTGCTGCGACGTCCCCCCGTACTTTGGTCTTGTGTCTGCAACGATGAGGCTTATCTAAGGAACCCCGTTTATCCATGGCTACCCCACGTTGTTTCTGGCTCTTTACAGGTCAGTGTCTACCTCCAGAATTGGTCTCATGTTCTGAGCTACGTAAGCAAGGCTGAGTCTACACCAGAGATTGCAGAAGTAAGCTCCTGCTTTTTAACTTGCATGAGTTTTCCCTTTGTTTTCTGTTTCCAAAATTTGTAAAGCAATTTCTTCCTTTCCCCCTTTATGACTTGCTCCATATAAGACTTCCTCCTCAGCTGCTATACTATTCCTTTTGAGGTCATTGTTGCTTTTCTTCCATGACATATGTGTACAAATTCTGACTCATGGTAAAAACAGATACTTCCCATCCTCAGTTCTTACCATATTTCCTAGACAAATAAGATGAAGTTATCTTGCCATTGAGATTTGCAAGTTAATTATTAGGATAAAATATCCTGAAGACACTCGTAAGCAAAATAGGTTTTGTACTGCTTGCTCACTACTGCTTTGTTTTATGCTTTAGCAAAGAGGAGAAAGAGACAGCCAGACACAAGCAATTCTCACCAAACTGAAATGTGCAGCAGGTGAGCGAGTCCTTCAGCTTCCTGGATGGTTTGCCTGTCTTTCTGCTTGTTAGCTGTTCATAGGGCTCTTGGGCAACAGTGTGGGCTTGGCTTATTTTTTCTCTCAGTTTGACACACTTTTTATTTCTGCACTAGACATGCAAAATGTAACGAAGCTGATGAGATAGAACTGCTGGCTGTTTTTTGCCTTCTCTTTTTTCTCCCTGAGTTTCTTCAGAGAGGATACCAGTGTGAGTCAATGTAGCTCAAGGGATGCTTGGTACAGTCTGAGGATCTTGTTTTACTTCAGTAGTGAAGGCACTAGCAACCATATGGGGGCCTCTCCTACTTCCCAGACTTTGCAATTTCTCCTAATTTGTATACTATCATAAACAAAGGACTAACTTTTTCTGGTTCCTAGGCTTGGCCGAACTAGCTGCCCGGAAGTACAAACAGGCAGCAAAGTGCTTCTTGTTGGCATCATTTGATCACTGTGATTTCCCTGAGGTGAGGACCAAGAGGGAACTCTGTGCAGGTCTTGGAGGGGATGTAACTCTTCTAAGTATTAGGTTGTAAAATTCAGGTATTGTAGTTATTCTTGCAGCACTCCTGTATAGTTTGGTGGTGCAGTGCACCTTGCTGGTTGGTTGGTTTGTTTAACAAAAAGTCTCTGTTCTTGGGTTCTCTAAATGTTCTACTCTGGATTGCATAGGAATTACCTGTGATATTTGTATTTTTGTGTAGCTCAATCAAAAAGCTGTTGGAATTGATGTCTGCTCTCTTAGTGGTGTCACTGCTCAGGCCCTCTCACCCCACACACTGGGTGAGAGCAAGCTGAGTGGTTCCACTGCATTTGATAAGGACTAATCCTGTCACTGAATAAAGGAAAGGCCTGGGATAGAATACTTAATGCCAACCTTACGCTATTTTAGTAGTCAGTGACAGCTCTCTCTCTGTCTCTCCCTCGCCCCATAGCTGTTATCTCCCAGCAATGTGGCTGTGTATGGTGGGCTCTGTGCCCTTGCCACCTTTGACCGTCAGGAACTGCAACGAAACGTTATCTCCAGTAGGTGAGTGATGCCTTGAGTGATGTTTGTATGTACTGGACATCTTTTGGGACATGGGACTTTGGTTGAGAGTAGATTCTGGCAGCAGAATAGCTTTCTCATACAGGGGAGAAAGAATCACTGAGCCTTAGTTTGGCATTAGCATTAAGTGGTGTTTCACTGTCTAAAACACAGTGGTTAATCATAGCTGAAATTTTCATAGTATAAGTTTCCAACCCAGGTCAGATCCAGCATCTGCACAGCCCAGTTGTCTGTCTCCATCAATGGTCCATATCAGATATTAAATCAGAGGGACACAGCCCTTTTTCAGAGGCAGCTGTTAAGATAATTTCCTTCATGTTGCCCCTTGTTCTGGTGTATGTTAATTGTTAAAACAATTTAGTAATTGTTAGTACACCTTGCATTGTAATCTAACTATGACATATGCAAGGTTAAGAGAGTTATGGTCTTTGGAAGAAAGTGGATATTTGTGTGTCATAGATCGAATTGCAATGGCACTGAATTCCTGTCAGCAAGGTGTATGGAAGCAGTAAATTTAAATTAATGTGGAAAAAGGGTTGTTACCCTTTTTTGCAAATTGATTCATAGAGTGAGATCCCAAGGTTCAGAAGTCTGTGATGGAGAATTGGGAGTGTGCTGAGAAAGAGTGTGCATCCCAAAGATCTGCCACACTCACGATGAGTTATTTCTCTGAGATAGTGGCGTGCTTGACCTGCCTTTGGCATGCTGTACTTAACAGAGGCTGTGCTTTGAAAGGGAACACAAAGCTGACCAGTGCAGACTGCAGGGTATACACAGCTGTGGCCTTCTGTTTTCTGGTGACGTATCCTGATTTTGATCTATTCACACTCATTTTTTTGTTTTGTGTGGACAAACACTTGTACTACTTAGTTTGACAAAAGTCTCTTGCCTTACTTCACCACAGCTCTGATGCTGTGCTGCCTTTCTCTGTGTTGTAGGCTCCCAGCTGTGCTGAAATTGGGCTGTCTGGTCCGTTAGAGAGCAAATTATTGGAATCTTTAAATGATAGTGAGAGTTTGTAACCTTACAACTTGGATTGATGAGGTTATGGGGTATTTAAGTGATGGGTTCCAATGTCTGATCACTGCCATCTTTATCTGTAGCTCCTTCAAATTGTTTTTGGAGCTGGAGCCACAGGTTCGTGACATCATTTTCAAGTTTTATGAATCTAAATATGCTTCATGCCTGAAGATGCTGGATGAGATGAAGGTGAGTTGTAGGAGAGCAGTGTAGAACAGACCCTAAAAGTTCCCTTTGCCTAGCCTTTTGTGAGAAGTAGTGATTGTCAAAAGTAGCTACTTAGAGTGTTCGGCTCTTCTGTGTCTTCTGTTTCCTGACATGGTGAATGGAAATTGGGAGCACTTTGTTGGTAGAGGGTGACAGAAATTATAAAGGTTCTAAATATATTGCTAGTTCTTTTATTCATTCTTGTTTTATCATATTGCTTTGCAGTAGTGTAATATCCTTAAGGTTTAAGTATATACACATAAATGTTTCAGAAAATGGGAATAATATATTTTTCCAGGTTTCTTCTCAGCTTCTGATGTGTTTTATTGTTTTGCACAGGACAACCTGCTGCTGGATATGTACCTTGCACCTCATGTCAGGACACTCTATACCCAGATTCGAAATCGTGCCCTTATCCAGGTAATTGTTCCTGTCATCTCGAGAGGTGGATGAACAGGGAGATAGGCCATCTCTTTGCAATTTTTTTCCCCCTGATTTTTCAGAGGATGGAGAGTACTCTTGGCAACTGAGTATTTTCTTCTTCTTAGTACTTCAGTCCCTATGTGTCGGCAGACATGCGCAAGATGGCCACTGCTTTTAACACCACAGTGGCTGCTCTGGAAGATGAACTCACTCAGCTGATTCTGGAGGGACTGATCAATGCCAGAATAGACTCGCACAGTAAGGTGAGTGCATTTCAGTCACGTGTTATGGACTGAACAGCTTTACTAAGATTAGAAACTTGCCATTCCTGAGACACTTGGAAGGTGCATTCATGTGTCAGGACTGGTGTGTTCAGCAGGGGTGAGCTGTTTGCAAACTCAGGCTCCATAAAGCCTGAGCTGTGTTCCCTGGTGCAAAGAGAGCTTCCTGCTGTGGAACCCTGGCACGGCTCCCGTGTACAGTTCTCCGTGTTGGTTACAGATTCTTTATGCTCGAGATGTTGATCAGCGCAGCACAACTTTTGAGAAATCCTTACTAATGGGCAAAGAGTTCCAGCGCCGTGCCAAGGCCATGATCCTGCGCGCGGCCGTCCTGCGCAACCAGATACACGTCAAGGTATGGCCGTGGCAAAAGGGCGCTGAGAGACAGTGTTAAGGTTTTAATTTTTTTTTTTTTAACTAAAATTATAAAAGTTGATTAATTGAAGATTCTGGAGGGGAATTAATTTTACGTGTTCATGATCAGATAAATTCTTAAAATAGCAAATAGTAAATATTTAAGGAAATATATAAGGAACAAGTGTTTCTAGCCAATACATTAACCTCTTGTACAACTCAGAATGTCCTTTGAAGTTTATATGGTTGGCTTAATTCTGACTAATTCCTTTTGTCTAATTCTTGATAGACATACCTTTTATCTTATCAACAATTTGAAGTAACTTTGTTAGCAGATGATGTAAAAAATGCATTAATTTTTAGGAACATTGCTTCCAGGTTGCAGTTCCAAAAGGATGCCCTTAGGGAGGATAGGCCATCTGCACAGAATGTTTTCATTTTTATAGTATATTAATCCCTTTGATAACTGAATGGCAGATAGGATTAAACTGGGGCCAACAGCACCTTGTATATAGTAAATAGGCTTAAAAGTTCTGGTTTGACTTTTTTAGGAAAGAACTGTAGAAGTTGTAAACACAAAGCTGTCGTTATTTATCAACTAGGGGTATGCTCTCCCCCTGCTGCCATCCTGCTGTGCTTCACCTGTGCCTCCATTTGTCTCTCAGGAAGCAGGGTGTGGGATATTTGCACATCACTAATTAGGACGTGTTTTGATCTTGTTGCAGTCTCCTCCGAGAGAAGGCAGCCAAGGGGAGCTCACTCCAGCTAACAGCCAATCCAGGATGAGCACCAATATGTGAAAAACTTCGTGCACTACCAACAGAAATGGTCCCTCAGGACTGTACCCAGTGTCTCACCCACTAACTGCTGAGCTTCACAAACTGTCCCTGTCTCCCTCACTTCTTGCTCGGATTGAGAGGGTCAGGGCTGATGGTGGATAACATGAATATTCCAATAACTTCAATTCTTCTTGAAAAGAGATTCTTTCTAAAAAAAGCATCCCTGCAATGGGTCATCATTTCGGTTTTGGTAGAACATCTTCCTCCATTCTCCTTCCACCACTCCATAAAGAGCTGTCAGGTTATTCATACAGATGCTGAGTTGAGAGTTTTTCAGCTGCTATTAGTTTTCTTACTTGTAAGCTGCAAAAATAGTTGAATGGACAGGCATGATATAAGATTAATTTTGCTGGCCTGAAAGTATTGCCTTGATTTTGAGCAATGCTGAGCTTTCTGTTTTCCAGATAAACTTACAAATGCATTGCTCTCAATTATGGAGCTAGAGTTCTGATGGGAGAGATTTCCTTTGAGAAACTCTGAGTGAATTTTCACCTGCACCAGAAAATGTCATCGCTTCCATGTATTCAGTCACAGGCCTTTATTTTGGGGTTTTATGTTTACCTGCATCCAGGTTCTCTCTCTCTGGTCTCTGTTTTCAAAGACCTGTTTCCTGATGCATTTCCCACTTGTGTGTGGCCTGGCTTCGGGGTCCAGTGTTATCATAGCAGTAAATCTCTACTTCATGCAAATACTGCTTCTTGTCCAGTCTTACTGCCGTAGTGTGTGATGGTTTCCCCACATGTGCAACAGCTGTTTCTGGTAGCATGGATAAATGCCATAAAACATGACTCAAGTCTTGTGGAAGCGCTGAAAACAGTCAGTCTGGGTGTCCAGTCTCCAGGTGCATTTATTCTGCTTTTCCTTTTATAAAGGGGTCAAATGTGGCAGCCCAGGGTGTGTGTGTGTGTTTTTTCGTCCTGTGTTCGTGAAAGGAGATATGCACTGAATTTTCTGAAGTCACTGCAGCCTTGTATACATCTAATCCATAAGGCAAGCTGAGAATTTTGATCCAACTCTGAGTGGTCTGGTAACTGACTACAGATGTTACTGTTAATGCGTTCATGCTTGTGTTTGGTTTTTTTTTTTTTTTAATAAGTTGTTATATCTAGTGCATTAAATAGCAGGATTAAAAAGCTTCTGAGTATTTGGAGTTCTGTGTTACAGTTGGGTTTTAGGTATTTTGTTCTCAAGGCATTGATCTTTGCTAAACTTCATGATGTTTTGTAGGCCACTGTGTCTTGCTTTCTGATATGATTGGAGACGTAGCTTGGATAAATTGTGAAGGAACGTTCAAACAGCAAAATTCCTGTAGGAACAGTGTTCTCTCCAGGCTTTCCATGCTTTTTATGACTTAGGTGCTGAAAATGGAAGCAGTAGTTCCTGTGAGGTCTTTGGTTAAATGTCTTCCATTTTGCCATGGAAAAATTCTCCCGTGATTGAGGGGAGAACTTTGCATTGGGTATCACTGATGGCCAGTTTAGTGAGAAAGGCAGGTTGAATTCTCGAGTAAATTGCTGTACATCCTTAGAGAAATGCAGGGAAACTACTGCAATGCCTTCTGTTCATGCAGAAGGAAAACCTTTCAGCCCTATAATGCTGCTTAAACATTCTTGCTTTCTTCCCAAAATGGGCCACTGATATTTATAAACAAGAAGATCTTATGCTCTGTTCTTTAAAAGGTGGTTTTTGCGTCTCAGTGAAGTGCATCCTGTCAGGTGGCTCTCTGTGCTTTTACTGTATGACTGTCCCTCCCTGGAAGCTTTCTGCTGCAGGGCTCCTCGGTGGTCAGTGATGTCCTGAGCTGGCTGGAGTCTCTGCTGTCTCACTCAGCAGCTGCTCGCACACGTCCCGTCGCAGCCACGCGGGGCCCACGAGGTGGACACAGCAGTTTCCAGCTCTTGCTGTGGCCCGAGGCCATTCTATAGCTGGGGCAGAAGTGATCAGTTTTCTTCTCCCCAGACAAAAATGCTTGCAACCTCTTCTGACCAGATCGAGCATTTCTCTTTTAGTGCTTAGTTCATTGGCATCATGGATGCTTTTGGGTAGAATTACTGGTATGTAACTCTCTCCTTTAGCCTGTGAAAGAAGCTGCTGTTGCTTTAGGATATTGCAGATGTGAGTCAGAGCTGTCCAGGCATGTTTCTTCTAGACATTGTCCAATGCCTGCCTCAGTCCTGCCTGCCGGTCCCAAAACATAGAAAAAATAACAGTGTGGATATAGTTCTGGGTAACTTGTATTCAGAAGCAGTTCCACCCAGTAAAAATTATTCTTACCTGAAATTTCTAAATAATTTCCCAAGTAATAAATGGGAAAATGGTAACTAACAGATGGAATTTTCAGTGATTCCCTGTGACCACTAAGGCCATTCAGTGGATGAAGTTTTGTGGGATGCAGCATGCCAGTATGTCTTAAGATATGATCAGAGGTACTCATTTAAATGGATTTCATGAACTCGTGTAGCACTTTTTTATTGATAAGGAAATGCCAGTGGTAGACCATGATGGGGTCTTCGGGCAGTGTAAATCCTGCTTTCTTTACGTGACTTACCTAGGAATAAAGGAAAAACAGTTGGAAAGAACCTTGGCACAACCACTATTAGTGGTAATGTAGAAACTGCCATTATGAGATTTGTGTTGGAGTAGTTGGGTGTGATTGGTAATTATCTGTCCAGATCTCATCCAGCACAGTGGTCTGTGCTGCCAAGATCTGCAGTAGGGGGTCTGTAAGAGGAGATTATGGACTGTGGCTGGTGCAGCATCGTCTGTGAGCTGCTGTGGCTGAAAGGCTTCAGTGGGTGAAGGAGAAAATATCAACAGTTGGGTCTTTGCCTCAGGCCACGTGCATGTGGTCTGTACTACCTCCTGGGACCCTGCAGCAATGGTCTCAGCATTACTTCCTAACTTAGTTGAAATTTCAGCATTGTTCCATCCTCTGGACAGCTCCCAAAACTGCTGCTGAACAAGGTATTAGTTCTGATACATGGAATGCAATATAAACTTTCAGAAAAAATAAATGAGGAAACTTTAACAATAGCAACGATGCTTCTGAAAAAGACCTATCATGCATAGCTAGTAAGTGCTTGTCAAGCATTGATTTTTTTTTTTTTTTTTTTTAAGAGTAAAGTCTCAGCGGATTTGAGATTCTTATGCCATCTTCTTTGTTATTCTGTGAAGCAGCTGGCAGTGGGTGAGCAGTGTGCTCCACGGGACAGTGCTCTTAGTATTTCCTACACCATCTGCTGGTGAGGACTGAGGCTGAGACAAGTCAGTGTTTCACTTTTCTGGTAGTCCATCAGCTGTGAATTTGCAGTGGGGTGAAAACTACCAAACTGGTGCAGAACTGACTTCTGCTTCCTCCGATGCTGTTAGGGAATAGGGAAAGGATTACTGTCTGCTTTTCAAATCAACTTTGTGCTTCAACTGATGTTATTTGGGCTTCTGTGTTCCTATGGATCTCTGAATTCCATTCAACATCTTATGGGGTTGCTGTTGTAGTTTTAGACCACCTCGTAGGATAACTTGACCAGGCTAAATTAATTTGAATGCGAACAGAAGCTGGCTAATAGGGTATGTCAAGCTGTGAGAGAAATGTTCAAGATTCAGTAATTAGAAGTTTGGTAAATTCATAATGCAAGTAAGGCAGTTTCTTGACAGCAAAGAACTAATTCAAGCTTCAGCTTCAGTAGGCTTATTAAAAGCTACAGACTGAAGGGCAGCTGCATTAGCAAGAGATGGTCTAATTCAAACAAGAACTCAAGTGGCAAGACCTGAAAATCTTAGATGATAGATTAGGATGGGTAATCTTCTTGTCCCTGGCCACACAAATACCACTGTTTCAGTTCTCCAAACGTTCTGCAGCTCTAGCTTTGACTGTTGTATTCCCAGTGCCTGTAGTTTATGTAACTGTGAAGCCTCTGTGTGCATATAGTTTGTACCCTATAAATACATGCTGAGATATGGGAGTTTCAGTCTTCGTTTTGATGCACTTTTTGTCTTCTTGATTTTTTTTCAATTTTCTCATATTTTATAAACTGGTTGCCAAATAAAGGCAGTTGGCTTTCTTTTTGTCAGGTGAACTAATTACGTTTTGTGTGCCTCTGAAAATAGATTTAGATATGAGAATCCAATTTCCCTCAAACTTGAAGACTGTGCATCATTTTCAGCATCATTCTATGTGCAGAGCACTGCCTTTTCATCCCTCTACTCCGGTAAAATTAAATACTGTATATCTTCTTAAGGGCCTTTGAAACAGAAACAAAATAGGCCATTACCTTGCTGAGTTGGCAGAGTACAATTTTTTTATTAGAGAGAAACAGGATAATTAGTGTATTGCCTTGCCTGAAAGTAATCCCCTGTTAGTGCAGGTGCAGGTGTGCCTGGTGTGAATGGGAACCAGCTCGGCTTTGCTCATTTTGTAATTGGGCCTGTGAGTTCACAAGCGCTGGTTAGTGCCCCGGGGCCACCTGGACAGTTTTGCCTTGGTAACTGCAAGGTTGGCATCTTCCAGAATGGCTGTTGAAAGTTCAGGTGAAACTTTTTTTCCATTAGTGCGGTGATTTGTAGCTGGATGCACAGAGGGAGGTCTGTGTTGCAGTGCTGAGCTGAGCAGCTCTCCAGCCCTGTTCAGTTTTTCAGCCTCCAGCCCTGCCACAGGACAGGAGTGAACAGGGTAAGCTCTGTCTGCATTTCTCCATTGCTCCTGTTAAGAAATGCCTTGGGAGGGAGGTCGGGACAAATATACTTTAAATACTAATTCTATATAGAAATGTGTCCAATTAGTATTCTCAAGTATAAGGTCCTTCCTGAATTTAGGAGCCAGAAACCAGCTTGATCGTTCCTTTGCACTGGTAAGTGATTCTGTGATGGGACTGTATTTGTGAGAGGTGTTCTAAAATCTGTGTGGGTACGATGACAGAACCTCTCCCCCAGCCCAGTCCCCCTGTGCTGAACTGGTTGTTTCGCATGCAACCATCTTTTCGGACTTCATAAATTTTCTCTGGCACAGTGAGGAGGAGAATGATAACTTTCTGATGTTTTTGGGAAACTGTAAATGGGAGGGGGTCGGTTAAGCTGTTTGAAAAACAGCATAATGAACATTTAGCTTTTTTGCTAGAAGAGGGGGGAGTAGACCACGAAACTCAAAATACCTGAGAGCTTTACGTGTATGTCTGAGGCGAGAGGTGGACTATTTCCCCAAGATGGTGGGAGAGGTGGTTTCCAGTTCCCATCTTTAAAAAAGTCATGTGTAGACCTGGTTTTGACACACTTCCCTCAGAATTTCTCAGGTGGGAAGCAGAAAGAATGATCATATAATAAAATATAAGACTTTGAGCAGGGAAAGGTTCACGAACTTGGTTCCAATTTACCACATAATTTTAGACAACCTGCTCTGTTAAAATAGAGATTTTATCTGCCCCCAATCTTTGGCTCATGGAAGACTTAAGTTTTATCATACTGTAAGAAACTAATAATTGTTAATGTGGTTATAGCAACATCTTACAGTTTTAAGTTCACATTTCCCAAGTACTGCTGCATTCCTTTCTGCATTGAAAGCGTGGCCTGCTAAAACACAGATAGATGTGACACATTTTCTGTTAGTGAGTAAGTCTGATGTTATTTTTAGTATGCCAGAAGGCTGTTCTAATACAATAAATTTGTTTCCCAGTATTAAAAACAGGACATGGAGGGTTAATGAACATACAAAGGGCAGAGTGTTATGGCAGCTTATATAGGTTGCCCCCCACCCAAAAATGCAGCATTTTCAGTCTTTAAAACACAGCATGAGACCTTTAATTGCATCCTTTTTATTTCAAATGCAGGATAATTCCCTGAGTAAGCAGTTTTTTACTTAAATAAAACTTTTCCAGAACTGAATCATGTGGAACAAGTTCACACAGCTGATGGTTCTTTGGCCCAGGGAAGCAGCGGCCTGGCAGGAGCTCTTGGACTGTTCATTTCCAAAGCTTCACACTGCACTGTCACCAGGCTCTTTCAGCACCACAGCCTCCCCCATCTCTGCCTCTCCTCTCTGACTCATCTCTGGGCTTTGAATTCCTCTTTGACTGTGCTGCCATGAAAGGGATTTTTCATACTTGGTCTTAAAAAGTAATCCATGACCTGAAGAAGCAAGGAAGGGACAAAAAAACCCAAACCAACAACCTGAAATGAGATGACTGCACTGGTAAATGGAACACCTCATTCCTTATAGTCTGGAAACTGCATCCCAAGGCTTTGAAAGCAGAAGAAATAACATACATAAAGGAAGAGCAGGCTTTTAAAATCATACTATAAACTTTTAGATAGCTATGATTGTAGATTTTAACACACCCACAACCCATAACCCAAAGACTGAAGTAATGAATATACAGGTAAGGTGTTGTTTAGGCACGAACCCCACTCAGACACGATCTTCCTGCCACATACAGGGGAGATGAAATGTTTGCTTGGTTCCTGGTAAGGCCAGGTGCACTTACCTGGACAGTCTGCTGTCTCCTTGAATGCTCTTTTCTTACAGCATCCTCGGCACATGTTAAACACACATTTATTGCCCTGGGTTGGGATGGGAGTGTAAAGAAGTTTGTATCAGTGAAAAGAAAATTATTACGGTTTACTATAATAAGCAACAATACAGCTCTGCACATTCAGATCTTTGGAAAAAAACCATGAACTCAGCCTAATGGAGATGACGCAGTTGATGTCATATTGGCTATCAACTGTTTATACATAAAGAACAAACAAACAAACAAACCCTCCACATTCAACTTATGCAACCCCAGTAACCTGTTGGGCAGCCTGAGTTACCCACCACATGCAGGCACATGCCATAAGCCCTCTGTAACAAGCATGAGCACATTTGTTGCAGGTGAGTTGCTGCACATTCGCTGCAGTTCTCTGCAACACTCTGAAACATAGTGCCTGCCATACTTGCTACCATCTGTAGCTATGCCTAAAATACATGTTACCAAGCAATTACTTCCCTATATGCAGCTTAAAATATATCTGTGTATTTATTAAAATATAATGTGTGACCCTTAGGGGACAGCAGCAGCTGAGTCCTGGCTAACTGATGATGTGGTTATACCGGCCTGGGTGTCTGGGGTGCTTTGCTACCTCCACCCCAGTTAAAAATTCCTTCAGGTTTAAGGAGGCCTTGGTTCAGTCCCTTTTTTTCCCTCTCTCCCTGCTCCCCTCCCACCCCCAGTTTCATGATATAGCTCAGAAACACATGATCTAGAGGGAAAAATACCCAAACAGGTCCACTCACAAGATTTCAAGGGCTGCCTTCAACATTACAGTGATGCAAGAGCAAAACAGAAATGAACCTAAGGCCAGCTGCAGCCAATCCTGGCTGACACACCGAGCAATGTCAACAGGATTAACTATGAAACAGGATGGGTTTGAAAGCAGGCCAGACCAGTGCTCAATGTTTTCCCAATAATGAACACAGCAAGAAAAAACATTTTCTTCAGTAGCTGCAGCTCCAAATTGAGCCCCACCTGGCTGCTATTGCTGCGGTGAGATAACAGTGTTTCAACAGTGAGCAACATCACATGCTTGTGTTCCAGGCCCTCCCCTACCCCCGAGGTGTAATGCTAATTTTTAAGCTAGAACAGAAAATTACTTCTTGCATTTTACATGCTGCTTTACAGGTATATTAGCAGGAATAAATACACTCTGCCCACTCAGCTCAGCAACACCTCCCTGTCAAGGAAACAGCCATGTTCCCCAAGGGAAAATAAAAGCAAAACAAACTCTTTGCAAATATCAAATACTTGAAGTTTCAATGCACAACCTGGAAAACAGCTGCCTTGTTTCGCATTGCTAATAGTGAAAGCCAGTGTTAATCTGCTACAAGTGCAGAACTGCTTGTTTTGGTAAGGGCTTAGATCCAAACCCAACAAGACCCAGAGCTGCAGGTGCTCCCTGACTCACTACAGGCTGTTACTGTGATGACATTTAAAATATTTGTACTAGTACACTAAAACCCACACTGCGCAAATTCAAATTCTCACTTTGCAGGAAAAACTCCATCACCACCAATTATAGTAAGAGGGGGTTTGTTTTTAATTTCATAGTAAAATGTACATGTGTCACTACTGGAAGTTTGGGAATTTGATTCCAAGAGATCTTGGGAAGTTCATCTAACTCACTCGACTCTCTTAGCAGTAAATATCCTCAGCAGCAGTAAGACTGTGCTTTTTTTGGACAGGAAAGCAAATTATTTCAAAGAACCTATATATGTTTGTGATTTTTGTGTAGCACCTTCAACCCCAGATTGCTTAGTTAATGGTTGAGAGGTTTTTGCCTGAGTATGGACTTTCCCCCCCACATATCAGCAGGACTTGATATGCTCCTGCACTATAGGGCACTGGCACAGACCTACCTCAGGATTTCAAATGACAGAATAGGATCATAGAATAATTTGGGTTGGATGGTCATCTAGTCCAACACCCCACAAAAAGAAGGGACATTTTCAACTAGATCAGGTTGCTCAGAGCCCTGTCCAACCTGACCTTGAATGTTTCCAGGAATGGGGCATCCACAACGTCTCTGGGCAATCTGGGCCAGTGTCTCACCACCCTCAGCATAAAAAATTACTTCCTTACATCTAGTCTGAATCTACTCTTACTTTAAACCCATCACCCCTTGTCCCACTGCAACCAGCCCTGCTAAAAAAGGTCCATGGCCATCTTTTTTGTAGGCCCCTTTAGGCAATGGAAGGGGCTCTAAGGTCCCCCCAGAGCCTTCTCCAGGCTGAACCCCTCCAGCCTTTCCCAGCCTGTCTCCATGGCAGAGGGGCTCCATCCCCCTGACCATCTTCGTGGCCTCCTCTGGACCTGCTCTAACAGCTCCATGTCTCTCCTGCACTGAGGGCCCCTGTGCTGGATGTAGCACTCCAGGCAGGGGTCTCACAAGAGCAGAGCAAAAGGGCAGAATCCCCCACCCCTGACCTGCTGCCCATGCCGCTTTCAGTGCAGCCCAGGACACAGGTGGTTTCTGGGCTGCAAGTGCACATTGCTGAGTCATGCCCAGCCTCTCACACACCAGCAACCCTAAGTCCTTCTCCCCAAGGCTGCTCT